TAAAATTATAATTTAGTAATCAATCAATTAATCACTATAACCATAATTTATCAATCAATTAGTTAATATCTTCATAGTTTACAAATCAATTAAATTATTGTGTAAATATGATTTACTAATCAATCAATTAATCAATACAATTATAAATTTTTAATCAATTAAACAATTTAATTACGTATAATTTATTTATCAATTAAAAAAAATAATCATAATTGACTAACCAATCAATTAATCACTATAATCATAATTAATCAATCAATTAGTTACTATTATTATTATTAATCAATATAATAATAATTTAGAAATGAATCAATTAATTAATATGATTATTATTTACCAAACAATTAAATAATATAATCAAAATTTTAGAATAAATTAATTGAATAAATTCATCATAGTTTACTTATCAATTAAATATGTTATTATGATTACTAAATCAATCAATTATAATTACTGTAATTAATTTTATTTTTTAATTAATTAAGTAATTTTTAATCAATTAAAGCATATAATTATAATTTATTATGCAATCGATTAATCACTATAATCATAATTTACCAATCAACTAATTAATATCTACATAATTTACAAATCAATATAAATAGTATAATCATAATTATTGTAATTAAATAATTGAATGAATTAATCATACTTTACTTATCCATTAAATTATTGTGTAAATATATGATTTACTAATCAATCAATTAATCAATGTAATTATAAATTTTTAATCAATTAAACAATTTAATTAAGTGTAAATTACGAATCAATTAAAGAATATAATTATAATTGACTAATCAATTAATTAATTACTATAATCATAATTAAACAATCAATTCATTAATATAAATATTATTTTTATTCAATATAAGCATAATTAATAAATCAATCAATCAATTAATTATGCAATTAAATATGTAATTATGATTTACTAATCAATCAATGAGACAACACTATAACTAATTATCGTTTTCAATCAGTTAATAAATTTAATTAATTATAGTGGTTTTATAATTAAATATTATATTTATCATTTATTAATCACTAAATTAATCAGTAAAATCATAATTTCTCAATCAATTCAAAAATATAATCAAAATTTATAAATTAATCACTATATTAATAATGTATCAATTAATTACATAATATAATTATAATTTACTAATCAATCAATTAGTCACTATAATTATAATCTATCAATCGGTTACATAATTTAGTCACATTTCTTTTAATCAATCAATTAATCTATTAATCATACTTTACTAATTACTAATATCATAAATTTTTTTAACTCTTTCTAAACTAGATTTCTAAAAAATAAAGAAAAAATTTATACAACATACTTGTATGTCGGGCAAACTTGTAATTCACAAATCTTCAAAGGGAAATTAATGATTTGAGAGGGATGGATGCACCTAAAAAAAAAAAAAAATCAATTAACAAATTGAGAAAGATAAAAACCATAGTAATAAAAATGGAAATTCTGATGAAAGAAAAAGAATAAACATATTTAAATACATTAAAAATTTTAGATTAAATATCAAATTGTAAGAAAAAATTAAAACATAAAATTTAACTAAAATCAATTCAAATTAACAAGTAGAATTTGAAACTCAAGACACAAGATGGTAGAACACAAATGGTGCAGAAATTGGATATTGCAATTAAGAGAGAATTATTACTTAAAATTTTACCAAAAAAAGTAAAGAAAGGAAAAAAAAAAAAAAAGAAGGAAAGATGTAGCTAATCATACCGTTCTTAGCTCAAAAACAATAAAATCTACTAAATATTAACTAAATCAACAAGCAGCGGCAGCTTATAGTGACTGATTCTAACCAAAACTTTAGTGAGAAGTTGAGAGGAGACGGTATGAGTAGGGAGGAGTAAAGGCTTTGTGGGTAAATTAAAAATGCATGTATATTTCGGTTAAAAAGATTGCCCGAAACGCAATGAAAAATGAGTGACTCTTAATTGAAATCTGATTTGCAGATCTTACATGCAAATCAGGAAAAAAAAAAAAAAAAGAAGAAAAAGAAAAGAAAAGAAAAGAAGAAAAGAAAAGGAAGGATTTCCCATGCTTTTTTCAGTCAGGCATACTGATTGAACAAAGCATGGGAAATCTGCAAGTTTGCCGATTTCCCACGCAAATCAAAGGAAAAAAAAAAAAAAAAAAAAAAAAAAAAAAAGAAGATTCGCCATGCTTTTTTTCGGTCGGACATACTGATCGAAGAAAGCGGGGCAAATCAGCAAATTTGCCTCACAAATTAGAGAAAAAAAAAATTTCCCATGCTTGTTTCGGTCAATGTGGTTGACCGAAAGAAGCTGGGAATCTGCTAAGTAGATTCCCTCATTGTTTTGGTCAGTGTGACTAACCGAAACAAAGCAAGGGAATTTGCTTACCTGTACACGCATGGGAAATGTACAAATTTGCCAATTTCCCATCGTCGTTTCGGTTAGGCATACCAACCGAAATGCATGTAAATTCAGCGTCTTTGTCTTCTCAGTGTCAAAGTGGTTCAGAGTTGTATTTCGATCATATTTATTGACTGAATCTATAATATTTTATGTAATTAGTTAATATTTAATGTTGAAACGGGGGGAGATTTTTTGCCAATTTTTATTCGGTCAGTTGATTTGATCGAATAGAGATTGATATAGTATTCGGTCAAGATACTTGACCAAACTGTTTTGGCAGCAATTGGCACCAGATTAATTCGGTCAGTTAACTTGACCGAAGAAAGATCATGCCGAATTGTGTTAATTTTTTCATTTTTTTTAGGACAAAACTAAAATTCGGTCAGTTGTTTTGTCCAAATTAATCATTTTTTTGGTAAAAAAAAAAAATCCTTCACCCAAACACTCTGATCGAAATGATCAACTTTCTAGTAGTGATATTGCATCTATTGGTGTGATATAATGTTTCTATTTTAAATAAATACATTTAACAAATGTCACCAATGAATTATCATTGAAATTAAAAGATATTTTTGCAAACATTAAGGCCTGTTGTTCCTTCAACTTTATTTATTTGTATCTTAAGCATATCAATGTTGTTCCTTGGCTCTCTTCCCCACATTCCACCAAATGGCATTGTTCCACGTAAAAAAAAAAGGACAAAGAAAAATTAGTACTAAATTAGAGTAAATAAGAAAATAATAATATTAAATAATGTCCTAAAAAATAAAGAATTGTGAGCTACTTTAGGATGTTCTGTGCGATCAATGTAATCACACTACTCCAGAATATAACAACTCAACATTCTTCATTTTACCTTTACAAATTCCACACTCATATAAGGCAATCTCCACACCACTGTTCCTGGCTCAATAAAAAGGAAACTAATAAGAGAATTTGTATAAAGGGAGTAGAGGGTTGTGTATCTATTAAGTGGGGGAGTGATCATGGTCACACATTAAAATGTTAGAGTTATATAATTTATTAAATATTTTCTTTTAAAATACTTATTTTGTTTAATATAGTTATTAAAAATTATTAATAAATATAACTATTAATAGATAAATGCAAAAAAAAAAAAACTAATATTTATTAATCAA